GAAAGGCAGCAGGAGGTGACAGCTGGGCACAGAGGTCAAAGCAAAGAGAAGGGAAGAAGAATGATTGTTAGCATTTGTGGCACACCCACTACGTGCCAGGAGCCCTACTAAGTGCTCTGCACGCTTGATCTCACATGTTCCTTACGCAAACCCTGTAGTGAGGTCTGGTCACTATCATGGTGCCCCTGCATCTGGCAGGTCATAACATAACTCAGGACCCTGGGGCTGAACCTTTACGAAATCTATCCTATTTTCAGTAGAACTTGGTGTCAGGGTGAGGGTAGAGTTTCAGAACAAATCAGAAAAGAAACAAGAAAGAAAATGCTCAACAAGCCCTGGTTAATGAAACCAGGGTGGAATAATCAGAAATAATATCCCTATTATTTGTAACATGGGTTCCTTTCCAGAGAGGCCATCAGTTTTGTTGACCTGTTCTCATTAGCCCTTTTAAAGTCCATCTCCTCCTTCTTCCCTCCCTCACCCCTTGGGTGTGTGTGTGTGTGTGTGCGCGCGCGCACCCCTTTCTATCTTCTTTCGTGTCAAAGCTTGACTCTTTGTTGCTGACAAGATCTTCAGGCTTGTTTTAGACATTGAAAACAGACTATAAGCATCTCGCCCAACCCTCCCTCCCCTTTCCCTCTTCTGATTCTTCCCCTCCTTTTCCTTTACTCCTTCCCGTTCACCTTCCTCTCCTGTCCATTTTCACGCTCTTCCCTTAGGATGAAGTTGGCAAAGGTAGCCCGAGCCCAGGACTCTCCCTGGCACTCGCTGCTAGTGAATGTCTGGTACCACTACCCAACTGCTCAAAGGATTTGTGTTCCTTTTCTTCTCTAGACTGGGATCATGAGCTCACGTCTGTCAGAAATCTGGCTGAGTTGGCAGCTGGACATGCCAGACCAGGAGGGGCTGGAACCTGGAGCAAGATCTGCCCACTGAGGCAGGGCCAGGATTTGAGGGGGTCCTGGCAGCTGGTGGTAGGAGGAAGCAAGGCCAGGCTGGGGGGTGTCAAAGGAAGCTGGCATGAGGCAGTTGGCAGAGACTGAGAAGGCAGTCGATGTCAGCAATATGGGGCAGCAGGTGGCAAAGACTCAATCACAGGGAGGAAAGTAAGGTATCTGGTCCCCAGACTCCTAGACCCTGAGGACCCCTGTCATAGGGTAGAGTGCCAGGAAGAGAGAATGAGATAGAGATGCAGTTATTGCAGCTGGAGGTACCAGACAGAGATCTGTCAGAGGAAAATGGAAAGTCAGGTCCTGGGACCAAGGAACAAAGGCAAAGCATCCCTGCTACTGACATTGGGGTCCAGGGAGCCCCCTTACCACAGAGGGCATTGCTGTCTGAGCATTCTGGGCAGGTATGGAGAGTTGTGCATTCAGAGGTCCCCCAGGGCGGCTTCTTTTCCTGTTTCTCTCCCTGCTTCATACTCTCGGCCAGCCCCTGGGATTGCATAGCCACCCCAACTATAGTGTGGAAAACCCCCAAAGCACATTCCACACTGGGGCAGGACAGTGCCTGGAACCCAAATCATCTCAGGCACAAACACAATGAGCAGGATATGCCTGCATGTCTCCCCCAGGCTCTCCTCCAGCCCTGAGCGGCTCTGACTGATTGCTCCCAGGATTCTATCATGTCCTCCATTTCTAGTGTTCCTTTCCTGGTCTGTGCTCTACCTGAAAGAGTTTGCCTATAGCTGTGGTCCCAATGCAATCTGTGCTGAGCTAACTCTGGCCACCTGGAAGACTCCCCTTGGTGTCCGCCACAGTCCTATCCCTGGAAAGAACTTCCCCCAGGGTCTGTGACTTCTCCAAAAGAGCTTCTGCCCCCCTTTACCTCTTCTTGCCTCACCCAACCCCACCCTCTACATCTGCCACTTACAAGTTGACACAAGTACATATGAAACTCACCGGCCATTTGATACACATGTACTTGGTGCAGGGATGAGGGGATGGAGGGGGAAACTACGCTGTGATACGGTTTGAGTTGAGAAAGGGTTTCTTCCTTGTACCCCTTAAACTTCCCATCTTTAACAGCTTCTGCTTTCCCATTTTCTACTATGGCTGCTTCTCCACACCCTCACAAAACATCCATTTCTTTTGGGACAACCAAGCCTAAAATACCATCCTACAGTCCCTTATCTGCAATTCCAAATCCCCAAATCTATCTTTATTCATTTACTTATTTTAGTTGTAGTTGGACACAATACCTTTATTTTCATTTATTTATTTCTATGTGGTGCCGAGGATTGAACCCAGTTCCTCGCATGTGCTAGGAGAGCACTCCACCACTGAGCCACAACCCCAGCCCCCTCCCCAAATCTTAAAGTTAAAAGATTTGTTTTTTTTGTTGTTGTTGTTGTTGTTGTTTTTAGTTCAGTGCCAAAACTCATCTGGTGACAAATCTTGACCTAAACTGATGTGAAGACACTTTATCTTCACACCCACTCAGCGTAAAGATTCCTACATTTGATCGCAGAAGTAGGAATGCATCTGATTTTGAGATGTTGTTCCTAGACCCCAGGGGATGGTTCCACATGTTTGGTCCCTTTCTGAATTCTAAAACACTCCTGGCTTCAAGGATTTCCAAAGGAACCTGGAGGGCATTAGAGGAATTAGAAATTTCAGGACCACAATTGCCTGGCCTGTTGAACCCTACCCTCACAAGTGCTGAAACCAGACTGCTGAAGAACTCCCCTGATAGAATACCTCTGTCATTTCCTATTTCTCTGTTCTTCCCCAGCACCTCTGGTCCGTTGTCCCCTTACCTGGCCAGCTGCAGGAAAGTGTGAGAACATTACAGAGTTGTTTTGTGCAGAGAACCTATTCACATCTGGATGGCTAATGCTAATAATTAACCACACTGGTTACTAAATCTGTAGGGTTTAGGTGAGGTGAGGTGCCACAGCTGGGGCTGCTGCTCACAGCTTCCCAGGCAGAGAGGGAGGTGAGAACAAAACCAAGAGAGGTGTGCTCAGATGCTTGGGATTGAGTGAAACTGGCTAATTACCAGTCACTTGCTGTCTCCCTGAGTTGGAGTTTCTGGCTAAGGAACGTTCATGGATCAGACAGAATCTGACAACCTGCAACTTATTTCCACACTAAGAAGGTGTCAGGGACCAAGATGCAAAGTATGCTGTGGAGGTAGTCTCTCGGGTGTCAGGACCTTCCTTGGGCACATGATACAGATGCCTTCGGGACAGGGTGGTGGCACCATCTAGCAGAGTGCAGAGCCAATTGCTCTCCTTAGGGAGACAGTAGGGGATCAAAAATGCTCCAGAGGTGGAGTCTATTTACAGCTAGGTGAAAGGTCTTAACTTGGACCCCCTCACACACACCTCAGTTCTAATGATCCAATCCCCCAAATTGCATGTAAATATGTGTAAATATTTTTCTGAGAACAAATCTACAACATTTATCAGATTCTCAGAAGGTTCAAAAGGATCTTTGGTCCCCAAAGGCAGGTGATTATAAACCAGAAGGTCTCCTAACCACCCCTGGAGAAGCAGATTAACATCGGGCAGAGTCCCAAAAGACTCAGGGTCCCTAATGATCCTGAAATTATACTCAAGGGATATGTGTGTGTGCATGTGCGTGTGTAAATGTGTATGTTTGTATATTTTTCTAGAAAAGGAATTCAATAACTTCTGCCAGATTCTCAAATGTGTCCACAATCCTCAAAGGATTAAGAACATGAACTCAAAGAGCTAGAAGTTTTGTCTATGCTTAGTTCACAGAGACCTGAAAACATGGTTCACAGTAGTTCTGCTCAATATCTGGGGATAACAGGATCCAGCCAGGGGCTGGCTGGTGGGGCCTTCCATAAAAGAACACATCCGCGTTATTTTAAGAGTCAAGTGCTCAGAAGTCAGGCTACTAGGTGACTGTCACAAAACCTTCAGTAGATGGAAAAACAGCCTTGGCTTCTTCCCACTCTAATGGCAGATTCCCAGATCTTTCTCTTCCCAAGCTCTGAGCCCCAGCTTTCAGAAGCCTAAAGAAAGCCTACTCCCAAGAGTTCAAAATTCATTCTATACTTAGTGGGTGCCTACTATGTGTCAGGTTCTAGGTGTAAAATAAGAGACTTGCCTTCTCTGTGTTATCGATCTAGGCCAATTTCCTGCCCTAGACACCAGTATTTCGGGCCCTGCTGACCAAGCGCGTTCTTCTGGAGCTTCGCACCCAAAGGACCCAGGTCTAGAGAAGCAGAAGCCATCCCAACCCACCACAGCAAGCTGGGGGTGAGGAGGGGAGAAGCAGTACCTGTGAGCAAAGCAGTGTGGGAGGCTGAGAGGACACCAGGGAGCCAGAGCAGGTGGACCAGGCTCAGCTTGGGCACTGCTGGAGTGGGAACTAGAGGGGTGGAGTTGGGTAAGAACACTGCTGGGGGCGCGGGGAGCCAGACGCGGGGAGCGGGACGCAGGGCGCTGGGTTTGTGAAGCAGACGCTGCCCGCAGCCTCTTTGGCAGCCGCCCCTGATCCCGGAGCTCTGCTCGCCCGCCCCCCGCCCGCTAGGGCCGTGGCGAAGCTCTGCTCCTCATACAGAGCAGTCCCGGAGAGGCGCTCGGACACGTCCCCAGGCTGGATAAAGATCGGCTCGGCGCTCGCTCTGCAGCACGAAATCTCGCCATCAGCGCTGCTAGCGCGGCCGCTCAGGTCCGCCCGGAGACGCCAGATCTCTATCTCCGGGGAAACGAAAAAGCAGTGTCCCCGCTCCCGCCGCCACCCTCTCGGTCCTGCGCGTAGGGTGGCGGCGGGGTCGTGGGGCCCGCCGGCCTCCTCTCCTCCTTTGCATTTCTTCCCAGCGCTTCCTCCCAAGGGACCTCTGATACCCGCTGGCCAGGGACCCCCAGCGCCCCGCGAGGAACCCTCTCCCCCTTCGCCAGGCCCGACTGCCTCCTGAAGGTTACGCGACGCAGCGTTGGGGCGCGGCGGAGCGCCGGGGGCGCCCGCCCTCGCCGCCGCCCACCCTAGTGCCTGCCGCGGCGCGGCGCGCCGGGCCAGCCCGGCTGCCGGCTGCTGCCACCGCAATCCCGGCTCCTAAATCAGCGCGGGGAGGCGCCCCTTCCCCCACCCGGCTCCCCGGACTCCCCGGGCCGCGATTGGCTGCGCGGGCGCCCCCCAACCCTGGGCCCTCGGCTTCAGCTGCCACGCCATTGGCTGCCGGCCTCCGCCAGCCTTTACATAAGCCCGGGCGCGCTCGAGTGGAGTTGTATAAAGCGAGCGCGAGGCGTCGGGGCGGGAGGCTCGAGGCCAGCCCGGGACCGGGGCTGGGAGCTGCAAGGCGGCAGCGGCGCCGGCGGCGGCGGCAAAGGCGGCAGCGAGCGCCCGCGCTCCGACGCCCCCAGGCGGAGGGGCTGAGAGAGCCCGAGGATGACTCCCTGCGCTGACCCCGGCGTGAGTACCCACTCCCGGAGCCCCCAGCCCCTCAGGCAGAGAAAGTTTCGCCAGGTCTACGCGCCGGTTCCCATCCGCTCTCGGGGGTGGCTGGAATGCCGCTGGGAACCTGGCAAGACCGAGACCGCGAAGGCGGTGGTTTTGCTCCCAACTTGCCAAGAGGCGCTGGACTCGATTGGCGCGCAGAGCCTCCCCCGCGGGCCGGGGTCTAGGAGGTGGGAGCCGAGGTGTAGGGGCGACAGACTGCAGCTGGCAGAGAAGGTGTCGGGGGCGCACTGGAGGTCAGGTGTTTGGGGAGGGGGCACGGGGACTGGGAGGGGGCGGAGCAGGTGAGGAAGGCTGTGCAAGGGGTATCCGGAGTCACCCAGCCAGCCAGGCTCAGCTTTGGCCAGGCCGGGGAGGCTACTGGTCTTAGCTCAGTGTCTACGCTTGGGGAGGGGTCATCGGGGCTGGACAAGAGCCCCTGGGACTGGCTCTCCCTCCCCGGGGAAGCCGAGCTCTTTCCTCTGCACAGCGCTGGGTGGCAGAGAGCTCTAGGAGCGAGCCCCGCGCGCGGCGTAGCTGCCAGCCGCCTTTTGCTGGACCGAGGTGTGGTCTCGCTTTCAGGCTGTCTCAGGCAAGCCTGCTTCAGACATTCCAGGGGAACCGGGCGAACCCCTCGACACTGTGGAAGCCCACAGAGGTTCTGATGGGGCCGTAGGCCGGGCTTGGGGGGCATGCCCAGCAATGCAGCGCGCTTCTTTGCAGTACATTAGTTGGGAGCCTGGTTAGTCCCGCTTCTGCAGAAACCAACTCAAGAATCCAAAGTCATCCCAGCCTGAATGCGAGCCTCCCTAGGGGTGGGGGTGGGGGCTTCTTCTGTGAATGACTAATGTTTCTTGTTGCTTTTGCTGGTGGGTTCATCTAGTATGCCTTCTGTGTGTCCCAGGAGGTGATTGAGTTCTCCAGGCAGGACACATTCTTGAGTCGCACTTGAGGTACCTTCTGGGATGGGTGCAGGAGTTCCCAAGTGAAGCCAGGTGGAAAAGAAGGCAAGGGGGTGCCAGGAGTAGGGGACTGTTCCTGTGGTGCTGTCTTGAGTGCTGGGAGAACTCGTGTGGGAAGAGAAAAAGCTGGATTGCAGATTTGGGACCCTGATAACTTGGGGCAGGAAATACCCAGGACTGAATTAGAGCTAATTCAGGCAGTCATATCATACCTCACTCTCAGCCATGCGAAAGGAGAAGTGGAGGATGGAAGAGTGGGAACATGGCGGTTGTTCTGATATGGTCCTTGAGGAATGTTTTCTCTCTTTCTGACTTGATTAAGAACATCTTTCTGACAGTGAGCCCTAAAAGTCATTTTAAGGGAGTTTAGGGTCTTGGTGCTGGTATACAGGACCACAATTAGAATAGTCCAGTTTCCAGTTGGTCCTAAAGGACTCTGGAGAAGGTCCAAGGTAGGTGGTGGTTACCTGCTCTATAGATGCATGGTTGGGGCTGTATCCTTCACCCTATGCCATCTCTGAACACAGGGCTGAGTTCAAACTCCAGTGATAGCTGGAGATCTTTTATGGGGGCTGGCAATTCATTCCCAAACCCCAGCTCCAACCTCTGCCTGCCTGAAGTCAACATTTTTCTGCTGCATTTCCCAAGACCTTCTCTCCAGTGGGGATTTGTGTGATAAAATACCTGCTTGTTGCTCTTTCTTCCTTTTTTCCTCCATCTGGGCTGCACCTGGTGTTCTGAACTCTTGAGTTTATTCCTTTACACCTTGATGTTTGCCTAGGGCTTCCTATGGCTGCACAGGGGTATCTCTGTAAATGTGTGGACCAATGGCCTGTTTAATCCTAAGAAGTGAAACATAGACTCTTATAGGGAGAGGGACACCAGCCAAGGAAGTAGTTCTATTAAACATCTTATGACAGCCAGGGTTGGTTCTCAAGCTTCCTTGCTGCCTGCCCAGTTGGTGGGAGCTTAAAGGTGAAGCAAGTTTCCTGGTGTCCAGTAGGGGGCACCAAGTGTACCTAGCTCAAGACTACTGACTTTCTCACTTCTTGCCCTTCACTGGCCATAGAAGTTAATGCTTTAAGCAAACTCAGACCTGAGCCCTCAACCAGTGGCCATTGACACAATTAGAGCCATTCCACCACATGCTCTCTGGACTTCAGGTGGTCCTGTGACCTCAAGTGCAATGGGACAGGTGCTCACACTACATTGCAAGGAGACAAAGCTGGTACGCAGCTCCACCCGCTCTCTGTGATAATTCCTTTGTACCTGGCACTGGTGTGTTCTTTGAACTCCTTTTCCTTGAGGGCTCACAGAACCCAAGAATATCAGCTAGAAGACGGGAGCCTTGGGAAGTATCTAGTGCAGCCTCATCCTATCCCCAATATTCACGTATGCACTTAATTTGCCAATGACAAAAGTGAAGCCCAGTAAAGGCAAGTATCTTGCCCAAGGTCACATGGTTGTTCAGTGGAAGAGTTGGGACTAAGTCCTAGGATTTTTGATTCTTTATGTGTAGCTTTTTCCACTCCAGTGACCCGTTTCCTCTTTAGTGTGAAGATGAACATATGTTCTCTCTACCGTCAGCACTGGTAATTATTGACTGACCAGACTTTGGTAAATTAATAGCTCTATTAAATTTAGGGGAATTTCCTTTAAATCTGTATCCAGAATGAGGAGATAAAGATTCTGGGAATGCATATGCACTGGTCTCTAAGTATTGTTTCCCTTTCCTCCACTATCTTATCTCATGACTCCAAGTGGGCTTCTAGGCAAAAGCCATGCAACTCCAGCTTTCTATTCATGAACTTAGGAACCAGAAGTACCCAGGGCCTCACCATGGTCTTCGAATCCAGGCCTGGCGCTCTTCCTTTCCTCTGCTAAGACATGCTGGAGTGGAATCTCTCTGTCCTAGCTTCACACCCTCCTGGTGGGACCTCTCAAACACAGATTGTGGATGAATTGGACAGTTTCCAAAGAGCATCTGCCAATTCCCCCATCCTTGCTGCTCCCAGTTCAAGGTCAGAGTGCAAGGATGTCCTATTTTTGCAAAATCCTCTTATTCAAGCTTCTTAGGTGACCTGAAAGATACTACCATTTCCATTGCCCTTTCTTCCATTCTGTGAGTCTCACTGCGCAAGGCCCTGGGAAGCGGATTTGCTGAGTGACACATGGGCTGCTCGCTCTGTTTCCCTCTCCTCATCTAGTTTCTTTGTATGCTGTATGGACTTCTTCAGGGTTCCCTCAGGGCCTTAGCAGACTTGGTGGCCTAACCTCATGAGGAGCCCACTGTTGCCATGCCAGAATTCTGAAAGTAAAAATTTTCTGCTATCCCTAAGACTCACCCAAGGGATGCCTGTTGCCAGGGAAGATGCTTGAGGATGCTCTCCTCCCTTAGGCTCCCAGACAAGAGGGTCTTCATCGGCAGGAGAGGAGGGAGGTGAGGCGAATGTGGCCCTTTATTTAAGTGGAATTCTGAGAGCTATGCTTGAGACCCTGGCCAGCTCCCTGCATTAGCTGGTGAAGTGGTCTAGTTCTGGGTAGAGCCAGAGGAATATAACTACATATGATATAGGTAAAGCGCAAACTTTCTGGATGTTTGTTTAATGAGGCAGGGTACAGAGTCTGAGAATGGCATTAGATGCTGAGCAAACAAGAAGTTGTCCCTTTCATGAGCCTCACTAGGTGGTTGACCTGCTCTCACTATTAATAGTGAAGACAGAACCTTAGAACCTGACTCACCAGTTACTGGCTTAGAGACCTTGAACTTGACCCCTGCATGCCTCAGTTTTCTCCTCAGCTATGTGGTGAAGCTGGCGACCCTGTGATGAGGGGTGGGTAGCAAAGACCAGGGGAGATGGTCTCTCATGTGCCTGTGCCCTTGGGAAGCTGTGAAGAGGTATTCAGCTGGAAGGGGAGATTATTGCTGGATCACTGGGAACCACACAGAGTCCTCTTTTCCCCTGCAAGCGAGGCCAAGTGTCCAGGTTTGCACATCTGCCTCTGCTCACAGCGACATCTAGGCTGACGGACAAGGCCTCCTTGGCAGGGCTCCCTCCTAGCCTTCCTCCCTCTCCCATTTCAGGGTTTTCACTTTGGGGTTCTGCCATGCTTGGGGGAAAAGAAATTTTACAGGTCCCAGGATAATTCTGAATGTGATGGAGGGCTCTGAGCTATTGATTCCTAAGGAAGGATCTTTCTGCTGGGAGAAGCCTTCCTCAGAGCCCAGTGATTTAAGAGTGCTGACAAATTTGTGCTCACCGAGCCTCCTGCAGGCTGCAGATACAGACTTCTAGGCCAGCCTGGACTCTGCGAGGAACGTCTGGAGAGCCTGACTAGTTGCTTAGGGTACACAAACCTGTGAACTCTCCTTAGGAAAAAGTATGAAATCAATTGGTTCATTATCACACCAAACGCACCCTGGGCCACTTAGGACATTTAAGAAATGAGAAATAGCAAAAAGAAAAAAAAAGTGAGAGATTGTGCTCAAAAAGTGTGTAGAAAGGTGTGACGGGGTTGGAGAAGAGGACCATAAGACCTTTTTTTTCCCACCGGATCAGTCATGATCTTGACCTTCTTAAAGTCCTTGGACAGTGACTAGAGAGGTTACTTGGCCTCTACCCACCAGATATTTGGCAATATCTGGAGATTTTATATATAAAATCTCCCTAGTCCATGGAGACTTTTTTTTTAATTGTTCCAACTGGAGTAAGGGGTGCCACAAGCATCTAGTGAGTAGAGGCCAGGGATGTTGCTAAACATGCAACGACATAAAGGAAAGCCCCCCCCCCCCCCCCCCCGCCGCAAATGTCATCTGGCTCCAAATATCAATAGTGACAAGGTTGAGAACCCTTGGACTGGAGAAGCAGCCTCATAGCTCATTAGAAGGTGGGAGAGTGTTCTCATCTAGTTCTCCTGTTTCACAGCTGGGGACACTGAGATCCAGAGAGGAGAAGGGACCAGCCAGGATTACAGAGCAAGCAAGTGCAGAGCTGACCTGAAACTCAGATCTGC